AAAGAGAAACCGTGGTCAGAGTTTCTCTTGGGAATTCAAAGTTTTCACTGAACTTCTGAATACTGGCTGATGTCCAAGGCTGGCAGTTAAATCAGTAACCTATTTATCCAGGACATTCCTGTGAGCCTTCCTGTACTGTGTAACCTTGGGCTACTTATTTAAACTGCACCGTCCTACCTAGTAATGATCTTCTAAGTTTAATAAGAAAAACTCTAATTTCTGACTAAAGCACAGGCCTCTCCCTGATGTCTGCCTATGCAGGTAAGAGGTTCAGTATTTTTAACAGTAAGAGCATGGTGCTGTGGTTGAAGGTAAAATACTGGGAGGGTAATGGCTCTGAAAATACAACAAAGAAGGATAAAGGGTGAGGGGTTTGAATCAGTCATTAAGATTTAGGCCAGGGGCCTAATGTCCTACATGTCCCTGAGCATACATAGGTGTAGGGCATGAGCGGCCTCACGAAGAGTGGATTGTGATTCAGCTAGATAGAGAATCACTTATGGCATATAAACTGCCTCTGCCCTGAATCCAAACAACTAGATGCTAAAATAATACTGTCTAAAACCTTGTATGTCTGTCATTCTGTATAGAGACAGAGGCATACTTAGTTTTATTTATTTTTTTTTGGCATACTTCGTTTTATTGCAACCCTCTAGCAAGCCCGTCTATGGGCACCATTTTTCCAACAGTAGTGGCTCACGTTGGATTCACATTTCAGTAATCCTTGCACTATTTAAACCTTTTTCATTATATTTGTTACAGTGGTCTGTGAACATGATCTTTGATAATCCTCTTGTAGCTAGCTCCTTTAGTGTCGTCTCTCAAATGAAGTCATCCAGTAGGTCTTCACTATGCTTCTACAGGCCAAAAGCAAGGCTTCTTGCACCCCCCAGTCAAGTTGTGAATGCACCAGAATAGTTCTTGACAGAAGTTAAAAGTGCTATTCCAGTGAACACACGAATGACAAAGTTCAAACAGCTTATCGCTGATAGGGACCGACACTTAGTGGTCTGGATGGAGGATCGAAACAGCCACCACATTTCTTCAGGCAAAAGCATAAGTGAGAATACAGCTGCAGAAGCAAACATGAGCCAACCTCAGCTGGCTTTAAGGAAAGAAGCCCTCTCCATAACAGAAAAGGCAAAGAGAAGCGTCAAGTGCTCATTTGCCATTCCAAAAATCCTAGGGGCCTTACAAAGTATGCTACCTATATTCCACTTGTGCTCTAGAAATGGAGCACCAGCACCTCCTCAATGATGGCAGGTCTGCTTACAACATGGTGTTCGGAGTATTTTTAAACCCCCTGTGGAGACCTACGGCTCAGAAAAAAAGATTGCTTTCAGAGCATGATTGCTTATTGCCAATGCACCTGGTCACCCAAGAGCTCTGTTGGAGATGTACCACTAAATGAATGTTGTTTTCATGCCTTCTAACTAAACACTAAGGCGTTCTTGCTACTCTCAAACCTTCTATATTGTAAGGCTATACATTCCACAGATAGGTAAAGATTCCTCTGGGCCCAGAAATCGACAGCATTTTGAAAAGGATGCCACCTTCTAGATAGCACTAAAAACATTGGTGATTCATGGGAAGAGATCAAAATATGGTACTGACATCAGCAGGACTTTGGGAGAAGTTGATTACAGTCCTCCTGGAGGACTTTGATGGGTTCAGGACTTCCATGGAGAAAGTAATCGGGGAGAGGTGTTTGATAGCGAGAGCACTACAAGATGGAGTTAACTGCTGCAATCTCATGATAAAACCTGAATGGAAGAGGAATTGTTTCTTAGAGATAAGCCAAGAAAGTGGTTTGAGGGGAAATATACTCATTATGAGGATGCTGTTAAGACCGCTGAACTGACAACAAACGACGTACAATATACCACAGTGGACAAAGCAGTGACAGGGTTTGCGAGGTTGGACTCTAGTTGTGAAAAAAAAGTTCTACTGTGGGTAAAATGCTCTCGAACAGCATTGCCTGCTACAGAGAAATTGTTTGTGAAGGTGATGAGTCCACTGATGCTGCTGCATACATCATTGTTGTCTTAAGAAACTGCCAGCCACCTCAGCATCCATCAACATGGAGGCAAGACCCTCCACCAGTATTCAGATGTGCATTTTTAAAGACTTACATGTGCTACAAAATCAGAAAATGAATCTGACTTGCTCTACTACAATATTCACTTTAGTGAGGTGGTCTGGAACTGACCCATGGTATCTCTGAGGTAGGCCTGTAGGGCTGGCCTCATGGCCACCATGATCAATCTTCTGTAGCACAAGGTATCAGAGTACTTGGGAATCAAGAAGGGAAGAGCTTTGTTTTGGAGTCACTATTAAATCTCATCAATTGTTTTCTATGTTAAATGATAAAAGCGTATGATGTGGTTATTAGCATAAAACTTAAAATTCATCTAGAACCCAATCACTGTTTACTTCTGCAGAGTACCTGGAGGAGCAAGAGAGTGTCCAGGTTAGTAGTTCAAAGCCACTGTCACCATTACAGACTGAACAAATGTTTGAGCAAAGTACTCAACCATTTGGTGCCTCCCTTGGCTTCCCAGTAGATTTTTTCATGTACTAGCACCTACCTCATGGATAAAATGAGTTAGAATATAACAGGGCACTATGTGAATACCTTAATAGGGTAACCATTTAACTGTTAGTTTATCATTACTATTCTCACAGCAGGGTCTGGTATGCCTGGCCCTTCTACATACATTTTCTCATTTGAGCCTCTGTAAACAAAGCTCTATAAACGAAGTAAGGCACAGGTCATAAATAATGTGACACTGAAAACGTGACTTGGTAGTGGAGTTAGAGTTCCCATCTTCTGGCGGATAATCCGTCCCACTCAGCATACCAGGGCACCCTCTTCTCTAGAAGACAGTTAGAAGCCGGTGTTATTTTCCTGGTCAAGCCCCTGGGAGCATTCTGGCTCTGGGGATTTAGGATCATTTTACTGACATGACATTGTACAGTAGCAGTAGGGTGTATCTCAAAGCCCAGATTTACGGCAGCTCATTTGACAAAGGCTTACCTGGATTACTATCTTGTCACAATGGCCCTGTGCTCGCTTCTGCAGCACATATACTGAAAACAATTGCCACAATGGCCAAATCTTTAATGATACCTTAAAACCCAGTGCCTTCCTAAACAGCACTCGTAAGGAAGCTAAGTGTCAGCAGAAAAGATGAGAGCATTGAATCTGGGCATGAAACCTTTGCCCCACGATGGGATGTTTGGTCTCCGGGGTCTTATTCAGGGATGTTAACTAATTCAGTGAGGTTTTAGTATCTGGTGACCTATAGCAGCCCTCACTCAGCCCCGGGAAAATCCCCAATAAGACACAAATAGTTCTGATATCTTCTCAATAAGGATGTTGTTTAGATCCATCCCGGAGTTCTCCAAAATCGGGATCAAAGTATTGTAAGACAAGTGACAGAGCACTATATAGACTGTTAAAAAAAAAAAAAATCAGGAAAGTGAATTGTGTTAGTGTTTTCTGCTGAGAAATCCAGATCCTTAGAGAGCTATATAAGCACCCTACACAGAGACGAATGAAAGCAATACTACAAGCCAATGAAGGTCTGAAATATGCAGTGGTATTTTACAGAAATGGGTCCTACTCATGCTCCCTTAGCTCCAATTTCACAATTATTCACCTGTATTTTAACAGAATACACGACAGCCAATGGAAGTCAAGCTCAAGTATACTCCTCTAACTCATCATCTCTCATAACTCAATTAGAAATTTAAACTCAAGAGAAATACTTTGTGGTGGTTTGTCGTTCAGCGTTATTTAACAAAAATATGTATTTCTGGCTTGGCAGAGGGTTTAGGCAGGACTGTAAAATATGAACTTTTTTTTCCCCCTCCCTCGGTCCCAGGAGCAGAGATGAAACCACATGATGTAATCATTCTGAATCCATGTGGCTCCTCTGAGATAGGGCCAGATGTAACCAGAAGGATTTATAGGGCGTAAAATTCAGAATGGATGAGGAAAGCATTTTTGCATCCTGCCCAGTACATCCTAAATCAAAGTCCCCTGAATGGACTAGGGAGGTTGTCATGGTAACCAACTGGCAAGCTGAGCCCGGGGAATGTGAAGGCAAACAATAGAGTGATAAGATTGTGTACAGAACAGCGGGCAGGGGCTGCTTCTGCTCAGGTACAGTGAGGGACACGTGGGTAGACGGGTGTAACCGTGAACCTGCAGTTTTTGTGCTTTCTTGCAATTCGGGCATCTCACCTGAAATGTATCAGGTGTAAAAACACTGCTACTGATAGAGAACAGAAGCCCTACAAAAATCCACACCAAGAGGTGGATGCAATGGTAGACAAAGCCACGGTGGGCTGCTCCCCTACTGGGGCACGAAAATTTCCAAAAGGAGGTTGAAGCACACTGCACGTTTGAGGTAAGGCCACTGACACTTTAGTGCCACCTTGTGTCCAGTTCGTTAGCGATTGCAAATTTACCTAAAGCCCACCCTCGGGCTTTGGTGGGCCCGGTAGGCCCTGTAGCAACAGAATATACAGAAGTCTTCTTCTGAAGTCTTCTAAGCCACAGGTTAATGAAAACATGTTAACACCTTGGGTAGAATCTGAAATGGGATAAGGAAACTATGCCAAGTAACAGGTCAGAGAAAAGATTCCAGGAAGCTTCCTGGGGGCCAGGAGTTGGAGGGAAGGAGGGAGGGCAAAGACCTACTCGGGGTAGAGGATTCTTAATATTGCCCTTACTAAACTTTTGCAAAGAGATTTGGGGTTTGTGGCTTTTTCAGCCATGCTGGGAGCACAGATACATTGATAGGGAAAAATAAAACGTCAACATAACCACGACTCGAAGACTTGGTCACAAGAGGACACCACTTGTTCACACCATGTCTTAGGCTCACCTCTTCAGTCTCGCCCCATCCCTGGGGAAGACCATGATCAAGTCCCATGTACTGTCGGCATACAGTGTAAAATGACCAAGCTGTGTCGCTCTTTGTTTCCTCCAGGGTTTGAATTTTTTGAAACCAGTGCCAAGGATAACATTAATGTCAAGCAGACATTTGAGCGCCTCGTGGATATCATCTGTGACAAAATGTCAGAGAGTTTGGAGACGGATCCGGCCATCACTGCCGCCAAGCAGAACACAAGACTCAAGGAAAGCCCTCCTCCAGCACAGCCCAACTGTGGCTGTTAATGTCACCCCCCCACACACACACAGGCAGCTTGAGGGGCACATCACCAACCAACAGCATTTCCAAATGGTCGATTAACCTTCATCTCTACTGCCTAGTAATGATTCGAGGGAAATCTTTGATGTCAATGGCTCATACATGCATTCAATTCATGGGAGATTTCCTGTGTTAATATGTGGCAACTATGTGATCTCAAATTTATAAGGACTATCCATCTATAAACATCTGGTATTTGCATGTCCTTTGTTTCTTGTCTTTGTAGGCGCTTTATGTTTCAGATCTCTTCTCAAGATTAAGCTACTGCTGGGACCTCAGACTGTAATTTCACTCCAACTGACTTTTGTGCCACGGGTTCATATTTGCCATTTGCTTGTGAGGATGATAACCAAGGAATTGCTTGTGTGTGTGGGCAAGAGGAGATCTCAGGAGACCGTCATGGGTACTGTTCAGGAAATGTGTCTGGTTTTCAGTGTTGTTCATAACAGAGACGACCATTGACGATAAAGGAATTGAAATATTGTGTTTGAAACCCTTGCAAATTGTCTGATTAAATCTAGTTTGAGTCTGGTGAATCTTAAATGATCATGTTACCCGACCGGAACTAGATTTAATCAATCTTCCTAATTTAGTTATGGAAGTAAACAGTGGCCCCTAAGGCAGGGCTCGTGGTGCCACTACTTCTGCCCAACGTTCTAAATAGTTGAGGGCATGGCCCAAACTGACGGGCATCAGCTGAAGGTATTAGGTGAAGAGTTATTTACCCAGAAGGGTAGGATTCACTGCAGACTTCTCAAAGGACTGAGTTCCCCCGTACCTTCATAACTGCTGCCCGTTAGACACAAACCATCCCCACCACGTTCTGGAACTATCGCTAAGGCATGGAACAGAGGTCAAGTTGAAGCTTGTTAGAGCCATGAGATAGAGACTTGTTTCCCCAACCAGTGCCTACTCTTCAAACCTCACCCTGCTTCTTTTACCCAACAGATTAATTTAAACCATATCCCAATGGCACAAAGGTTGAGGAAAAGACTATTAGAGGTAAGTTGAACAAACCCTTGAGGACACCAGAAGTGATTTGTTGAAGGGGGGGACCATTTTTTTCTCCCAAATTTCCTAAATACCGTCTGAGCACAACAAGCCAACACCTCTCACCAGCTGTTCTGACTGAACTGCAGAAGCAAGCTGGCATCCTGCCCCATGCACACTGCTGGATGGTGCTAAGAATTTAGGCAGCAGACAGAGCGTGGCAGATGGAGGACAGAGTCATTAGGCTGACTTGATTCCTAAGTGAGAAGATAACACTTAACAGAAGAGTACTGATGGGATGTTTTAAACACACCCAAGTCATTTCTCACCTTGAGCTTCAGATTTGTGCATCGGAATACATTTCCACTTTGGCACCCTGCCAGGCAAGCCTCAGCCTACCAAACCCAGAATGTTAGACTAGAGTTTAATAGGCCAACAAACGTCAGAAATCACAGGACTAACAGTGAGGGGAAAGAGAAGCCGGGTGGCAAGTTTGCAACAGATGCCTCTTTTGCGTGACTGTACGGTGTTTCTATAACTGCACAAGCATGTGGCCATGTAGGCTGAAGCAATCAGGCCAGGAAAACTTACCTGTCCTCTGAGTCTCATCTCTCTCTCTCTCTCTCTCTCTCTCACCCCGTCAAGGACCTAATTATGGTGGGCAGAAAGCTCTTATGAGCACCTTCTGCTCTGTATTATCACATAGGGGAAAGCAAAAGCAGGGTGAGGAAAGTGGAAGGTTAAAGAGCTGAGTTTTAACTGTGCATAAACCCCTTCCCTGAAAAACTCATTGCTGATTCAATTAATTGGTCCCAAGACCAACAGACTGAGGCAGGAGCCTCCCTGACCGTGTCAGACCTGCCTACCTTCAACTACCTTAGTGCCAGGCAGGGAAGCATGATGCCCAATGGGCATGAGCAAGGAACTTCGGATACTTGCTCTTTCGCAAACCTCGGTGGAAGTGGGGCCCTCCTAGTTCATTCTGTGTTCTGAAGCGCCGCCCCTGGGGTGAATTTCCTTGAGAAGTTTCCAGAGTGGATTATCACAGACCTCAAGTACATGCACACCTATCTTCCTGCTCAAAAGCTTATTCCCTATTCCCTCTAGTCCTAAATTCATGAAGACATTTTAATTTTAAAATTACATTTTGGTTATAAGAGGTAATCCTGCAGGGTTACCTGAGCTTCTGTGGTCATCAAACTGTATTAAAAACCGCAGCCGTGTAACTGGAAGGTTTTTCAGCCTTTTTGCCACCAACACACTTAACCTCCTAGGTCCTCTCCATCTCCCATAACAGCCTAAATAACCTCTAGTCATTTTTCCCAGTGGCCTATCTAAATTTGTATCTTGAAGATCGAGAGACCTTAAAAAGTACACACTTGTCTAAGTGTGTTCGCTTTTAACATTCATCTTCTATTTGATGCAATTCAGTTTTTCAAGAAGGCATCGCTCTGCTGCCCATCTTCTCACCACCCTCACCCCTGCAAGGACTTTTAGAAACAGGGTTTAGAAACCCTGACTGCTGAGCACAGACTCCCAAGAACTTTGGTGGTGGTGCATTCCTATCCGTTCTTAATGCCCTTGACAACCCGGGCTGGTAAATTCTTCCCCTACATAGCTATCCTCAGAGCCCATGGGCAGTTAGTTTGGGGAGATGTGAATGGGTGTACAAGGTGCATGACCTTTCTGCAGATCCTAAGATGACAGTGTAAATGCTGCATCCCAGGTTTGGGGGCCTGAGAACAGTTGCCCTGGATGGCAACTCCCCTCCTGCCTGCCCCTCCCCAGAACAGCTTCTACTGCCTTGGTGAACTTGTCAGCGGGCTCTTGGAGTTACTGCCGCTGAGATCCACCTCGAGTCAGGATCCCTTCGCTGCCTGGCAAAAAAGTGCTAAGATTTTTGTAAAGTGAGCGATAAGGATGCCTCCAGTGGCAGCAGAGGCCTGCAGCATCGTTAGGATAACGGTGAGGCATAGTTCCTAAAAATTATAACCAAACTTCTACAAGACACCAATCTACTCAAACACATAGTATATACATTGCATCTGCTTCACTCTCATCCAGATTATAGTCCTCTTTTTGAGCACCCTGGTCATTTTTGGGGGACCAATTCAAACCTCCAATTCTAACTAAGTCAACGCTGAAAATAGACTTTCACAGTTTTTTTTTAAGTAAGATATTCCACTAGGAACTGAACTTCCATAAAAGCCACAGGAGTTTGGGAGTCTGTGATCAGAGGCTCATCGTGATGGGCTCGGTTCTTGGTGTATGTTCCTGTACAGTGAGTACGTTCTATGCTGTCCCTGGTTGACCATGTGGCATTTGTCAGACTGTATTTAAAATGTATCTGGAATTACACAGCTCTCCCAAGGCTGAGGTAGCAGCTGTATGTGGAAAACTGGGAGCTAAATCCTTGAAGTCAGGACTAAAACCCTTTGAGACGGAAAAGTGTGGCTTATTTGCATATACTATTGGAACACTCTACCAGGTGCGGTTGGTGTGGCATACCTAGGAGGGGGCCTGTCTGTGTCTGTAGCCTCTCTCTCCAGGACTTAGAGAGTGTGCATGACTGGTAACGCAAACTGTTCCTTGTGGGTGTGCTAGGTCAAGGTGGCCAGTGAGCCACTTGACCCACGTGGCCTTTCTCTTCACCCCCTGGAAGATCCGACCGCTGCAGCACTGCTTCACTGGGCCTGTGTGTGTCTGCTACCTGTGCTTGCATAGTTTCCCAGTAAAATGGGAAAGTCATTCCGATGAGCTAAACCCAGTGGGGTCAAGCTTTCTGAATTGCTTTGTGTTTTAAGTGATTTTTTTTATCAAAGCCATTTAAAGACATAAACCTGTTTTCTATTCGGGAATGAATTGGGACAAATTGGGTCAAAGATAAAGTTTATGATGAGAAAAAAAATATCTGTTTCCCTCTAAGGCCCCTAAAGGGTTCCAGGTTCTAGAAATCTAGTATCCCCTAAGGAGGCAGCAACAGGTCGGGGTAATTTAGCTAAAATATATGTACCTATTGTTACTGCTATTTCATGCATAAATGTAGTTTGTCTTAAAAACCTTGACAGAAATGCTTGACACTCCAATCAACTCATCATTCCCTTTGGTAGATTAAAATATGTACACTTGGGCCACTCACAGGGTGTTGCCCCTCCCAAAACACACACACACACACACACACCTGTTTGATGAAGGGAAATCTTCACATATGGTGCTTTCTCAGTGCTTGGGAAAAAGGAGCTTTTGCTGGGTTCCGACTATAACTCACATTTTGTTTCAAAAGGTCTACAAAACATTCTTTACACAGATTTGTAGGTTTGCACACATGATTTTCATGAAGAATCGAGAAAAATGAATTTCATGAACATTCTAGACAAGAAGGATTTCAAAACCTGTCAGAACATCTAGCTGGTAGACAAACTGAACTTTCCAGCTGTGGTTCTCTTCTACTTCCTGCTATTTTTCATTTCCATTTTTAAAGCAGTCTCCTCTCACTGAGTGACAGGACAAAGAATAGGAAGTGAGACTCAAATTTCACCATTTACCTGCCATCAGCACTATTGTTGGTGGAGTTTCAACCAGTCATTATTTGCTGAAATGAGGTTGGGGGGGCTGGGGTGGTTTACCTGTGTATTTTCATTCACCTGTGTTCATACTTTCCTCCATAGTGGACAACTGAGAGTTGGCTGTGGTTTTTTTTGGCCATATTTCCATATTCATGTATGGGGCTAGGGATTGCTTAGGTTCATGAATGCTGTTCTTACACAGATGGTACGTGAGCCACACAGGCACCCAGCCTTTCAGGGACGTGAGCATGACATCCATCCGTCTAGTGGTTCCATGCTCCTCATGCCAGTGAAATTTGGGGATTGTTTGCCGTATCAGGATGGTTCTCCATGCATTGTTTCATCATCCCTAGAATGTGTGCTAAATGAAAACTTCCTGTAATTCCTGTTAATATATTGTTGATGTCAGATGTGATGTGATACCGTTGGACTGTCCAAATGTACAACTATTTAATGGTGTTTGTGGAACTGAAGTGTCTTAAATGTTGCATGAAATATGTTATAAAAATAGATTTGTTTTCTATTTTTCAACACCTCATAATTGAGGGTTCATGGGCCAATAAGTGCAATATTTAATGACTTACTCAGTGTATATAAACTAGCGTGAAAGAGTGAATTATAATGAATGTGTGAGATGCTTTGATGGCTGTGTAACTTATTCCAATTATTTCTTGTAGCTGTATTTGTCTAGTGGTGCAATTTATACAGTAAATACCTTATTGGTGTCATGTGAAACTCCTCTGTGCCTATTTCAAAATAATTTTTTTCCTATAAAACCAAACACTTGGTATCTGCAAATATGTCAATTTTGCGCTTTAGAATTGTGGATTTTATTTTTAAGACAGGATGGATGTTCATTTATTTTATATAGGCATTCCCTTCTTAAATTCAGAATTCTCTTATAAGAGGCTAATTTAGATACCTAAGAAATAATATGCACATAAGGTAAAATCATATTTATTCTTCTCAGAAATGTTGATCACATGTTCTATGTCCTAAGAATTCTTCATGCATTTGTGTGTATATTTTGTTGTTCAGCCTTGTATTTTGTTTGCACATTTAACATTGTCAACCCTGGGAATTCTAAAGTACCGACGTCTTTTTAGGTTGTGGTGACTGTTATATTCACTTTCAATTCTCAATTGTCCACACTGGTGATATAGGAAAAGCAAAACTCAAAATTCTTAAGTTGCTTTGGTATTTCAACAGAAACCCATATATTCATCCTCAAACCCCCTTGGTTAATCTTACAATTTGGTGGCCTAGGACTTCAATGTGATGCAAAATTTAAAAATTAAAAACATAAGTAGGCCTGGTTGCTCGATTACCAAAAACTCTTGAGAGTTTGTTTATATGAAATTTAAAGTAGGTCACCTACCTGAAATTCCTATTTGCCATTTTAACTTTTAAGGCAAAACACTCATTTTAATACTATGCTTTGCCTTTTCATTTAGCAGAGTAACTCAGAATACTGTTAGAAAGAAAAGGTAGGACTTGTTCACTAAAAATGATGAAAACATTTGGTTTTAGATAACTTTGACCATCTGTACATCATATGAAGCCTTACGTTCTTTCTCCAGCAGTTGCCTGAAATTGCCATGTGAGGATGTGCCAATCATATTAAGTGGCTTTGGACTACCTACCACCAGTGGCCCTATTTTAAATAGGATAGCATGAAATTCGTACTCAGCTCTCAAACCAACTAAAAAAGTCAAGCGAATGTGGGAACAGCAGGGAGCGGAGGGACGACTTTGTGCCAAACTTTAAAAAAGATAAATTATTCTAATGTTGGCTACATGTTAACATTTAAGAGCGTGTTTAAATGTTGAGTTAGTCAGCATTGTTATTGAATCCCATGTGCTCAGTGCTGTGGGAATCAAACAGGGAAGAGGGATAGTTCCTACCCCTAATAAACCTACTGGAGAACCAGGAGGAAAATCAATACCCAGATGTTATGTACATGCTAAATTAAGGCTGGATAGAGGAGCCTAGAGACTGAGGGACCTCTAACACCTGGAAGACTCAAGAATGTGCCAGCAAGACTGTTTGCCAGACAATAAATAGGAAAGGTCCCATTATGTTACCCTATGAGTGAAAAGGTGACAGAGGAGGCAGCTAAAGATCTTTGCTTTCTCTAGAGAGCCCAACTGGTCCTGTAAAACCCACCCCATTACCCACTGGGCTCTCTTGCTTTTGTCCCCATGAAGAAGACAAGCTAGAGCATCGACATATTCCTCTGTGCGGAGCAGCCCCAGACTGCACAACAAAATACAAACTGCTTTAAAGTCACATTAGAACAGCTGATTTAGACATTTTGCCCATGCACCAAACCACGAAACATCATGTGATCCAATGTCAATGAAACAGATGTGTGCGCAGAGATTTTCCTGTAGTTCCATGTTTCCCATCAAGGGTGTTGGGCAACGCACAGATGAAGACCTTCCTTTGTAACCGGGCACTTTCTGGCTTCTCAGTAACTATACTTTGGAGCTCTTCTTCAGAACATATTGAGTAACAGCTTAGTGCTTTCATATAGTGATTGTGACATTTAGTTGAAAACTAACAGCTGCACAGCAAATATCGTGACTCTTTCTGTGTCCACAGGAGCTCTTGTCTGGGTTTAAAGCTACAAAGTATTCACATTGTGAAGTTTTAATTCTCTTTATTGAAATTAATTGTGTAAAAACCTGTATGTGCTCTATTAGGTATTAAGTTTGTATGTGAATTCTGTATGGAATGTGGTTTTTGTTCTTTGGGTTTATCTGGTTTTATTTTTTGGAGATTACAATAAATATCTAAGAGACTATATTCCTGAATTTCTCAGCCTTAGTCTGATAAATTCTTTCATTGCCTTTCATTTTGTATTACTTTTGGTCTTTGGATGCCCATTTCTTGTTACTTGCCTCTCCTATAACCCTAGGGACAAAGATGAGCTTGAACTAAAAAACTATGAACACATTTTTAGTTTAGGCTGTGGCTTTTTAACATGTGGACTTAGGCATAGGACTTAACGCTAATATATGTAATCTTTGAAGGTAAGTACTGTTTAATACATGACTGCATTCCAGGGTCCTACAACTTGGTTGTAGAATCAAGAATGACCATCAGTGCATTAAAAGTCACCTCTACTGCATAAACACTATTTATCCCTGTGTCTGGAGTCCAGAGTCCAATGATCCTATTGGTATCCTTCTAGTACAGTCTAGAGCATTCAACACGGACAACCTGTGCAAGAGGTCTGGATCTGTTTAATGCGTGGTTCATGGTGTAATAATGCTTCAGATGCTGTGCATGCTTGCCTTCGGCTTGGACCTCAGAGTGTGCTGAAGCATCCCATGATCAATCTAGTTGGATCATAGCAGACCTAGGAATTTCAAGATCTCTTAGTGACATAATTGTGCTATTAGCTCCATTTCTGGATATTTTCTTCTTATGTTCTCAGGGCCCTTTCCAGACAACCATGCTAAATATAAGCCAAGTGACGTCCCATGAAAACTCCTATGGGTCCACATGGATCAAAATAGCTTTCTAACCTGAAGTTAGTGATGCAATCTCACCTGCGTAGGTAGACAAAACTGATAGCACACTAAGAAGGGAAAAAATAACAAAGGGCTTCCAGTTATATTGTTAACATTCCTATATAGAATGTACTCTCTAGTTTCCTATTCAGGAAAATACATACACTAGAATCCTGACCCTCAGGGAACTCATACAATTAGAACAAAGGGAAATTTATAGTAGGAATTCCCAGTATTTATAAATATTCTCTACCATGTGTGTCTAATAATTGAACATTATAAATCTGTTGCATTTAGGGACTCCTGGATGACTCAGCAGTTGAGCATCCAACTTGTGGTTTTAGCTGAGGTCATGACAGCAGGGTCGTGAGACTGAGCCTCTCTTGGGATCCATGCTCAGCAAGGGGTCTGCTTGAATTCTCTCCCTCTGCTCCTCCCCACCTCCTACAGACATGTTCTCCAAAACAAGTAAAATCTTAAACAAAAAAAAAACCTTGTTTGATTTTAAAAGTTCTCATCAAGAACTGTCTCACTTGAAAGGTTACAAAACACATTTTTTAGATCATAGTACTCTACTCCCCAGATAAAGTGGTAAGATTCTTGCCAGTGGTAAGACCTCAGAAAGATTATACCTGCCTTCCTGGTGATTCCGAGGTTAATGGGGCCAAAACAGTTCTAACAGGTTTTCTCAGAAATTCCCTCTACTTTCACCTTATTACCTTAGCAATAGCTCCTTTTTTTTTTTTTTAAGATTTATTCATGAGATACCAGGGGAGGGGGGTGGTGGTGGCGTAGAGAGAGGCAGAGACACAGGCAGAGGGAGAAGCAGGCTCCATGCAGAGAGCCCGACATGGGACTCGATCCCAGGTCTCCAGGATCACGCCCTGGGCTGAAGGTGGTGCTAAACCGCTCAGCCACCCAGGCTACCCTAACTCCTGACTTTGAATTAATTTTTAACAATGAAACTTCTGTGTCGTTATTTCTCAATAGTGTTAACAAGGTAGACCTGGGAAGAATATACCTGTTACCCTTGGAGGATGCTAAGCTTCTTACTGGATGTGAAAAACACATATTCTAAGGAAAAGGGCACATGGCAGGCTCTGGTTTTTGGACACTTGTGCAACAGCGACCCCTTGGTTATCTTATTTCACCCTATACTCACCACGTTGAAAGAATCTTTAGTCTAGTGGAGAGGTAGTCGGGCTGCCCAGCTTTTCTTTCTGACTTATTTGTGTCCCTAGTCCTTTAGCACTAGATTTTCTTGTGTATGAACTCTAAACCTCAGTTTCAATTACAAACTATATTCTTAGGACACCTGGGTGGCTCAGCAGTTGATCATCTGCCTTTGGCTCAGCACATGATCCCAGAGTTCAGATCAAGTCCCACTTCTGGCTTCCTGTGGGGAGCCTACTTCTCCCTCTGCCTAGGTCTCTGCCTGTGTGTGTGTGTGTGTGTGTGTGTGTCTTTCATGAATAAATAAAATCTTCAAAAAATAAATAGAAACTATATTTTCCATTTGATCATGTTTTGTCTATCCCTTCAAGCAATTCTACTGATTGCCTTTCTTCCACATAGAGGGCATAGACAATTTAAGGAAAGCAAATATTTGGGGGAAAATCTGGATTTATGTTTCAGAATTATATCCTAGAAAATAATTACATAACAATTTGGTAAGTGCCTATAGAGGTTACATGGTAAAAGTACACAAGAAGGGTAGTTAACCCAGACTAGAGGCAAGGAGATTGGAATGTTTTAAGAAGGCCTGCTAGAAGAAAGGAGTCCTGAGCTACAATATCCAGATATAGGAGTTAGGTAGGGGCAGAGTGGAAGAAGATTGTTCCTAACAGAGGGAACAAACAGCCAATGCAAACCAGGGAGGTATCTCAAAGCACAGTGTGCACATACTCCAAAGCCATTCACACAAGTCATTCCAGGGTGGAATAAAAGGAGAATGAGCCTAAGGCTGAGATTCATGACACCTGTCTGAAATGCTTTCCAAGCCTGGAGTTCATCCTCTAACTGAAAAAGTCTCAAAGGAAGAAATTAGTTCCATCAGATTTGAGTTTTTGAAGAATCACTCAAATGGTAATATGGAAAATGGTCTACCAGAAGGCAATCATGGAAATAGAACAAACGCTAGAAAGCTGTTGTAATTATCTATGGTTACATGCATGAATGAAAGATGGCTCTGCACTGGGGAAGAGTGAAGGACACATGGCAGTTCAATCTAGAAGGTAGGTAATCATCCCCAGTATGATTCCTGCAGGGTGAGAAATAGAAATCAAGGGTGACCCTGTGGCTCCTGGCTCATCTTATTAGGTAGATGTCAATGTCATTAACTAAAAGAGAAAGTACAGGCTCTTGTTCAAGATACAGATGTAGCAAGACCCTGAACTCACTTTATCCCACAGAAACACCAAATCTGTAGCTATACATGGAATAGCATCCTCTGAAAAAAGCCCCTCAAAACCAGCTAAACAACACCTAAACACTGGACAAATGAGGGGGACAACACACACACCAAAGTGTACAGGAGAGGATGATTTTGCCATAAACTCCACCCTAGGCAAGGATCACCTTGATTCCTCTCAATCAGGAAACCCAAAACCAAGAGTTTCTCCCTATGGAACACGGGGCCTTGAACCACACATCAGATACCCCAACCCTTAAGGCCTGCACCTGGAAGATGAGCCCACCAAACATCTAGCTGCAAAAAACCAAGGGGACTCCTGTCCACGAGACTTGCAAGTGTTTAGCTAACTGACAAACTGCTCTTAAAGGGCTTGTGAGCTCAGACTGACCTCAGGCACCAGCACAGAGGCTATCAACTGAGAGGCGCAGACTTTATGCAAAGAGGCCCATTCACTTACAACAATCGGCTGAGGGGCAGGGATCTAATTTAATACACATCTAGGGGCCTGCTGGGGATTTCTCTGGGGGGATTTAAGCTGGTAGGCACCATCTTCACACTCTTTACTACTCCATCTCATTGTCATCTCCCCAAATCTCTCCTGCAACTTCCCTCCTCTGGCACCCTGATTTGTGCAGCTGCTACCCAGGTAATATGAGTCACCTGGCTCTGGGCTCCAGTAGGGCTTATGCTTAAGGATCCCATGGGACTGTAACCCACATTATGAAAAGGCTACCACACCTAGAGAACAGCAAAAGGCAACAGAATGAGGACCTGTTCTTTTGGTGAAAGAGGTCTATTAGCTTATCTTGGTAATTGTGGCCCCAGGGCCAGGATTACAATTAAATACACGTCGAAGAGCCCACTGTAATCTTCTCCTAAAACCTTAGGGAATGGTTGCTCTATTTGTGTTCTCCCTCTACCACATTGGACAGTGACAGTATCGCTCAAACACTGCTGCATCAGACACCTATAAGAGCCCCACTCTATGTGTTTCACCTACTTTTTAGGTCTTGTGCTTCAGTGTTTGTGGCTGCCACCCAGAAGACACCCCTTGCTTACCTAGCTCTCTGGTGGCCTCCAACAGTTGCTTTCCTGGGTCCCAAAGGACCTTAACAAATAGACTGACGTTTCTTGGCAGAGTACCACCCAAAGCTCTGCACAGACAGCAGAAGACCCCAGTCTTCTATGAAAGAGGCTTATTTGCCACTCCTGGAGCTTCAGCCTGATGAACAGGCTTCTCATTTGACACACGCTGAGGAGCCAACTGAAATGCACTGCAGGGATGAAACCTCTGGAGATGATCTTTGTGCTCTCCCTCTGCCTCACTCTAGGCCACTGGTAGCTCCTGGAGAGGACCTCATATGCTCTTCTGGCATGCTGATTTTTATGACTGCCACCCAAGGGACACCTCTAAATAGTAGCAGTGAGACTTATGATTGCACTCACATAAGACTGTACTGTATATATTTGCATACTTTAAAAGCTGTTGCCTGAGAGTCTGGCTCCAATCAGCCCAAAACTAAATGCTAACTGAGGTATTTCCATTTAGGACACAAACAACATGAAATGTTGGGAGCTGCTAAAAATAAAATTGGCTATTTGGAAATCACAAAAGTTTAAGAGACAACAAAGGAGGCAGGGTTTAAGGTAAGGTTTATCTCCTACAGGAGGCCAGACCTTCAAGACTGGAAGAGGGGTTTTTTTGTTTTTTGTTTTTTGTTTTTTGTTTTATTTTAATCTAATACATAAAAACCAACACAGAGAGTGAAGCAGAGAGAAGAAACAGACGAATATATTCCAAAATTTAAAAACGCCTCAGGAAAAGTCCTTCACCAACTGAAAATACATGACTGGTCATAGGGATGCTCACTGACCTT